GATTAGAGAATCATCATCATAAAAAAAAAAAGTCTGGGATTTGTAATGGTGAGCTATAATGGGTAAGTTCCACCGCGGCTTAGCACATACGTAAAACAAGTAGCCAAGCAACATCTTTAAAATTAGAAAAGAAAGAAAGAAAGCAAAGAAACAGGCAGATGTGGATTAAGAGGTTAAAATACAGTATATGGCTGAGGTAGTTAGAGCTAGAAAGAGTTTTTACAGTAGCACTTAGCTAGTGGTGCTAAGTGCTAAAAGTTTCGCAAAAAAAAAAAAATTTAAAGTGGCCAAAACAAATGTTCAGGGAGTTGAAAGTGGCCAAAACAAATGTTCAGGGAGAGTCCACGACATCAGTATTTATCTTAAAGTAGCACAAAAGCTAAAAGTTGACCGAATAAAATGATAAATTTAAAGTTATTCAGAGAAGTAGCCAAAGAGCAGCCCAAAGATAGAGAGATAGAAGTAGTCGCAAAATGCTAATGGGCGTTTAAACTTCAGTGCAATGTGTAATAGTTGTCTAGAATGTCAAAAATAAATAAAGCAAACTATCGGTAAGAGAAACTACAGATAAGCTAAGTTAGCCAAAAATAGCTAGATGATACGGTAACTTATGTAGAAAGATAACCAGGACACTGCTAAAGCAGTCACAAATATTGAGAGCGTTTAAAAGAGCATTTAAAGTGACAATAAGCTAGTGGTCCAAACCTTATTCAGCCAAAAGATTAAACTAAATATATGCACATCAATAATTTAAATTTAACCAAATGCTTTTTCCAGAAGGGCAACATCAATATAAACAACACCCAAGATACACCAGGAGGTGAACTTAATAGATCAACAAAAGTACCAAAAACACATCGAGGAAATAGGAACAACTTTAGCTGAAAACAAACAAACAAAAACAAGCATCAAATCACATCATCAATTTCCTGTCTTTGTTTAGACTGAATAACACGTCTGTAATGACGTAAATATATTCACAGAACTTCACTGGAGCAGCGGCTGGTGATTCTTTATCACTCACTGTGTGACGACGTTGCCATTTAACCTCTGCCTGCAGACGCTAATAGGCTGTATTTATATTTGTCCTTACCCTGGCTGATGTTGACGGTGCTTAAAAAAACATTAACAAAAATAACTCAAGATCACTGTTTTAGTCAGCATCACTGTACAAATGGAAAGTACTGAACGCTGCAGATCAGTATTTCACAAAGCCATGAATCTGTGTGTAGTAATTCCACCTTATTGGACACTGTCACTGCAGTGGAGAGACCTGCAGGTGTCGTGGAGCGGGTGAGCTCAACAGCTTAGAGAACAGCACGGTACAAAAGGTCACGACGCTAGAATTCTGACTGCGAGGAAACAATCGAGCATTTTCATCTTTGAGCCATTTCTTACTGTGCGTTCCTCTGCGGTGGGGGTAGGGGTCTGGTTCGGCGAGGGCAGAACGTACGGCTCCGTGCGCCGCCCTCCAGGGTGCGATGGAGTGTTTATTGAGGTGTAATGTTAGCAATAGGTGTGCAGTTTGTTCAACATGTAGCTCGTAAGAGTGCTGTGCGTCTGCTTTATGCTCTTGTCAAAAAGGCTGTGCTTGTTTTCGCGGCCCGACACAATAGAGGCTCTATCAACAAACACATATTGCTGTAATAGCGACAGTCTCTGAACCGTAGCTCCGAACAAGAGAGATCAGGGCCGAAGCTAATGCATTAATGAGCTGCACTAACGTAGACAATTAATCAGAGCCGCAGCACTTTCACCGACTTCAACAGCACAGCGGCACAGCTTCCGTTTTCCCATACAGCTTTTGTTCTCCACATTACACTTGGCATTAAAATGCCACACGCACGCTTCTCTTTTGACATGCGGTACACGGACTTTGTGTTCATGTGACATTTGAGATCCACTGTATGCGTGCTCCTGAGGCTTAGCTGCTCAACTGAGCCCGTCCTCCTGGCTTTGACAGAGCTGTATAAATGCTCCGCCGCTGACTGATGTACGTATCTCCAATAGTCCAGGGATCCCCCGAGGGTGGTGAGGTGGCAAGTCAAAGAGAGAAGGAGTCTTAAGTCCTAGACACGTGATTCACATGGGAGTCTAAGCGGGAGAATGTGATGTATATATTTATATATTTATATATATATATAGAGAGAGAGAGTCAAATCCCATACTTTGAATATGCTCCAAAGCAGATGCTGCCTCATCAGCATCCCTCAGAAGCTACGATAGTCCACCCTCAGAAATGGCTCCTGCATAAATCTCTTGATTCCACCGTCTTGGAAATAATTAGACAGAAGAATGAGAAGGAGGAGGAGAGGAGGTGGTAAAGTGCTCCAGGCTAAGCTGACAGAGTCTTGGTGTAGCATCTTCTTATTAACGGTACAAGTCTGGCTTAGAGACCAATGAGAGATGAGGAATCAAAGCCTCTGTGGGCACATTCCTGAAAGTTGGAGCGAACAAGAGTGGGCCAACGACAGCTCCCGGGGGCTGGAGCAGGAGGCACTGGGGGGATGATGGAACGATACGACGATTGAAGGAAAGATGAAACACTCTCAGGGAACTAATTAGAAAGTAGATGAAATAGTAAATCTGATGATATTGGGAACAGATCTCTGTTGAGCCAGGTCACGAAAACACCCCACCTTAACGTGTATGCGTTTACTGTTTATGCTCATACCCCTTAGCATGCTTAAAATATCAATACTAGTGCCATGCAACATGAACCGGTTTTTTAAAAGGTCATCGCGATGTGTACTTTCCTGAATGATTATTTGAAGCTCACAAGAAAACGGGTTCAGGTAACAACAAACCTCTGTTCCCTTCAGTCTGAACCTGTACGTAGTTTAGTTTCAATGGAGGTCAACTTTTAATAGGTTTGGGTTTTTGGTGAAGTTGAGCAGCTTAATTTTTGGTTTCTCTCAGACTTTTCTCTCTTTGTGGGAAGCTTTGATCTCTGTTGAGGGCGTAGAAAAACACCAGTGTCGGTGCCGTTCCACAGTCATTAGTGCACTGCACTGGTCAGGCAGAGTCACAACAGAACACAAGAATAGTACAGGGTATGGACTTCAGTCAACTTTACTACCACACAACAGACTGGGGACAGAGGTATGTATGTGTAGTGTAGCAGTTATCATGCCTGCCTTACATTTAGAAGGTCTTGGGATCAAGCCCCAGAGAAACCACTTCCTTAGAAGCATCGCCTGTGACAACCTGTGAGTTACACTGTAAAAATCCTCACCGTGGGATGAATAAGGGGACAGAGAGTCACTTCTTTACAAAAATTTTTTAAAAGATTGTTTCACAAATCCATGCATTTAGATTAATAGCCTGCACCTTCTCCACACATGTTGCATTGCACCTGCAACAATAACTTGACCTTTTCACAAGCTGTTCCAGCCCCGTCCTGCTAACAGGCAAATTAGTCTCTTTGTTTCTGACTTCAAATTTACTTTGTTCAACAGCTTTTTATGTTGAAAATAATCTGGTTGTGTCGTCATGGTTGAGGTCATTGATTTAACTGTTGTAGCCTCAGCACAAATATCAGCACAACACAAACCGACTGTGAAGATGGCACTGTTGTTTCATTGATCAACGCAGCAGACCACTGTGATTAGCTTTGGCTTATTAAGTATGACAGTAATAATTGAACCGGTGAGGAGGGGGCGCTGTAGGATGTTCTGCTGGGGATTCGTTGGAGCTGGTGATTTGTTTGGACAGCAGTCAACGCTTATTAAGTCACTTCTTCTGATCCGAGTATTTAGAGCTTCTGGTTGTGGCACCAAAAAGGGACGTGTGATGAATTATACATAAAACTGTCAAAGTGAGCTTTATGGTGTTTTGACAAGGGCTGTAAAAATGGAACGTATCAAATCTTTCAAACCAGGCCTTGGAAAATGGAGATAAAATTTACTCCTGTCATTTAACACGTGACAAGATTCTCTCCTCCCAAGGACTTCTGAAAGATGGTTAACTTTAAATATAAATAGACCTCAATCCTACAGGTTTATTACTGGTCAAAGCAACACGTTGATGATGAGAGCAGAGAGTTCCAGTATATTGGTTTTTCCAGAAATACTATGAAATGTAATAAAGCTTTATCTATATTTTTAATCCATCCATCAGAAAATTTCTTCTGTGTGGAATTCTGGGAGATGTCATTCACACCAGGTCAGTCTGGTCTAATGACTGATATCAAGGTACCTTTAAATCTTCTTTCATTTTGTTAATGTTTGAGGAATGTTCAAATCCAGTTTTTGGGAAGTTTTTGACGATAACAGACTCTACGAATCGCTGTTTTCCGAATTTAGTATCCAAGTTCAGCTTCTTCAACTGTGCAGGAAGTTTGACTCACGTTAGCCCTGAAGTTTCCCCCATGGACAAAAAATCTTGTTTACTTGAATTATTAGCATGAAATAGCCGCACAAACATCAGTTGTTCCTCGCTTGTTTCAGATAGTTAGAGACAGAGGTAACGGTAATTGACTTCTCCATGTTCTGATCATGTTAAAAAAAAAAAAACAGGAAAAATAAACAAACTCTGGGTGAAGGCGAGGAGTTTGGTTTCTTTAGAACAACTTTCTCCCACCCATGATGCATCTGGTTAACTGTCATTACCTCAGTGACACCAGGCAGAAAACCCAGGATTTACTTCAACTCATTGGAATCCTCTTCATCCACCTGACTCTCCTCGAGCAGAAATCAATCTCACACACACACACACATACACACACACACACACACTGCATTACATGTGTTCACCCTGCACTGTTGAATATACAACTCTCTGCTGAAGGCTGCTCCCTCAGACAGTACACTGTAAAGACCGAACGGCAGAACGGCAACAACAGAGAACTCATGCACAAGTCAGTAATTTCAAAAGTGTGGCAAAGCCACTGCACACACTTATCACAGAGCCACTATTAGGAGCAGACACGCACAGACTCTCCTCACCTCTCTCTCTCTCTCTCTCTCTCTCTCTCTCTGTCTCTCTTCCTCTCGTCTTACCGTTTATGTGCTTTCCGCCTCATTTTCAGCAGCAGATAAGATCACAATACTCATGTGCCTGTGCATTCCCCTCAGTGCTGCACGCATTTAGAAAAAGCCACCTCTAATTCTGACTGGAGACAAGCTGGTGAGCAGAGAGACTGGGGGAGAGTGAGAGAGAGAGAGAGTGAGAGAGAGAGCTGAATGGAGCAGGAGGAGGTGTTTGGTAAAAAAGGAGGGGTTGTGAGAGTGATGGAAAGTAGAAGAAGAAGAAGTAGAAGAGGAGAGGGGTTGTGAGATGTGGTGTTGGTGCTGATGCAGGAGTGGAAGCAGGAGTAAAAAGTGAAAGTGACCAACCTGGTGTCATGCTGCATCTGCCTGTCAGACTCCTGGTGGGGAGAGAAGAAGAGGGAGGAGGAGGAAGAGGAGAGAAGAATGAAATGATCAGATTTGTTCATCAAGCAGATTTATCTGGCGCCTCAGTCTCTCCACTGCCCCATGCCGTGGAGTGGCTCTTATCTGCTGTTTAACGAGCACTCAGAGTGGCTGTGTCTTGTGGCAAACAAATATATCCATTATTTCTCACTCTGGGCACACACACTATATCAGCATTAAACACAAGAAAGACGAGGGGGAGGCTGGGGAGGAGGGAGACAGATTAGCGGCACGAAAGGAAAATGCTGCGTGCAGCAGAAATGCAAAAGAAAGAGCCCGGGGCTGAGCGTCAGACCGACGTAGGTAGCGTAGCTGTTGAAAGGATGGAGGCGAAACGGACAAGACAAATGACAGGACATGGACAGTTCCACAGGGAGAAGGTGTGGGAGGAAGTAAACAATGTAAAAAAAAAAATGTGTGAAAGACAATTTTGGGGAATAGTTTTACTTCAGGACCAGAACACAAACCGGGAGCCTCGCTCTGACTGAGATAACAGGAATCTGCCCAGCAGCTCAGTAATTACCATGTTTCATCTCTATCGATTATTGCATGCAAAGAGTGGAGTGAAAGAAATGACAAATTAATCTGTTTGAGGGGATTCTGCAGCAGCAGCAGCAAACGTTCTGCTCCTGTCTTCAGCCTCTGTCGGGCTTTTTACACTGGTAACAGTTTGTGGCCTTCACAGTTTGAACTGTTCACTGTCAGACAATTAAAAATGTTCAATCTGATTCATCACAGGGTAGACTGTGGATTAATCATGATTCATCAAGATAAATCAACAGTAAATAACCCACTCGTCCCTTTTCCTCCTATTCCAAAGTAGACTTTGTTAGCTTTATGGCTAAGGAAGTGACCATAGCAAAAACATCTTAAAAAACATGGAGGGTCTTTGAAATAAACAGTAAATAAGATTAGTATTAAAAAGTTTTAAAAGAAACAGTTCTACCTCTGTGTTCCTGTTGCCTAGTTACAAACCTTGCTTTCCAATTCCCAATTCCTTAGCAAACTCTACATGCTAACTGTTAGCATTTAGGATTGAATCTTTTCTGTTGTTGTTCTTAGACATTGATACCATTATTAAAACTGGGTTTTTAATTTTAAGATTACACCTAATTCATTGAGAATTGTTGCTAATGACTAACAGTCTTGGAACATTAAACATTTTCTTGTTTTTATGTGTTTTTTTAAATACTGTGTCCAATTCTCCCCTTTGATTTTCTTTCTTTTTTGTGTGTGTTTTTGTTTCTGTTTATTTATCATGTTTTGTTTCTTTTTTGTGTTTTTGTTTCTGTTTATTTATCATTTTTGTCATTTAACGTGAAGCACATTTACGGTGGTTAGGACTAAGGTAAAGGGCAATACACAATAAATAACAGTGTCAATGTTGATTGACTGATACTATTCTAGACTTTACACACTGTTTTACACATGCCATACATTTGAACCACGTCACTTCACGTCTTCATGTGTGCTCAAGCGGAACAGTCGTGAATGAGAAACAATTCCTTGTTTTTTTGTTGTTTTTTTTTACGCATTTATTTGTTTGTCCCATGAATAATGCATGATGTGAATCTCACCTGAGAATTCACCATTTACATTTACATTTTCACTAAGGTTTAACTCTTTGGTGCAGAACCAATCACTCCTCGGTGCAGTCCCGGGAGTTCCGCCTTTGTGGTGCAGTGTGAACAGAAATATACGTGCAGTACAATTCAAAAAAAACAAACAAACAAAATGATACACAGGAGCCTGGGAGTCATATGGCGTTTTTTTTTTTTTTTTTTTTTTGTGTGTGGGTGTGTGTAAGTTTGGTGTCTTGCAGGGCCAGCATCAGGCTGTGTCGTTAGTGATTCAATATTTCTTAAACCTGCTGTTGGTGTGTGTGCATGTGTGTGTGCTGTGGGCCTCATGGTGTTGTGTGGGTGTTACAAACAGTGCGATTGATACAGCAGGATGACTCATACATCTACTGAATGAGACAACAGCTCAGTAATCCCCCTCCCTGTGGGGTGGGGGCAAG